CGGCATAGTATTTCATATGGTTATCTGATTCAAAATGGCCAAAACCAGTCCATTTCAGCTCACTAATGCCTAGGATATCAATCTTTATGCACTCTATTTCATTTTTGATCACTTCCAATTTTCCTAGATTCATACTTCATAAAATCCATGGTCTAATTATTAATGGATGTTTACAGCTGTTTCTCCTCAATTTGAGTCATGCCATGTCAGCACATGTAGGTCCTGAAAGACTTACTTTATCAATATCATTAAGGTTGGTTCTACTCTGATGAGGCAGCTCTTTCCCAGTTCTATTTTGAGGGCCTCCCGACCCAAGGGGCTCATATTCCTGCAGTTTCGGACTATGTTTCCAAGCTTTTCATAAAATTGCCCAGTAATGTATCAGAGAATGTTTCTCTGTTATTCATAAGGTTTTCCCTGGCCAATTTTTGAGAAGTGGATGGCCTCCTCTTTCTTCCTAGTCTGTCTTAATCTGTATGTAAGCTGTGTTGAAACCTGTGCACCATGTGCAACTCTGCTGGCACAGTCTCCAGCCTCACAGCAATTTACAAACCCCACAGGATGACAAACTGACGGACAAGTTTGTCTTCCTTATCTGTTGGAAAACTCTGCACCCTCCTCTTACCTAATTCCTGCCTGGAACCTGCCATTTTGTTTTCCTGGCCGTTCCCTCCCTTTCCTGGCTCTAGGGGACTTGGGGCCTAGCCTTGCCTCCCACTCCTCTTTACCTGGATATCCTGCCACTCTGCAGGTCTCTGGCTTCTGTTGCTCCTCCCTTTCCTGCCTCTAGCGGCCTTGGTGCCTAGCCTTGCCTACCATCGCTTTTTACCTGGATATCCTGCTGCTCCAGAGGTCCCCACCCTCTCCTGCTCCCTCCCTTTCCTGCCTATAGGGGGCTTGGGGCTTAGCCTTCCCTCTTGCCCCTTTTTACCTGGATATCCTGCTGTTCTGCAGGTCCCCAGCCTTTCCTGCTCCCTCCCCTTCCTAGGCATTAGTGAGCTGAAATGGACTGATTTGGGCCATTTTGAAGTAGACAATCATATGATCCACTATCCTGGGAGTGACAAATTGAAGTGGGATGGCATGGCATTCATCATCACAAAGAATATAACAAGGTCTATCCTGAAGTACAATGCTTGTAATGTACTTGTATTACCAATGTTGGTAATACGATAATATCCATACAAGTACAAGGAAGACCACTTAGTACTACTGTTACTCAAATTTACACACAAACCACCAAAGCCTAAGAAGAGGAAACTGAAGATTTTTACAAATTTCTGCAGTCTGAAATTTCTACTTTTTTTATCATAGACAAAATGTATCTGTAAATATCTACTTAATTTCTATTTGTGGTCTGTTTATTATTATTGTGTTTAGGACATGACCTTTTTTTTATCTCTTTTTCTCTTATTTACCAGTGTTTCTTCTGTATATGATATATTGCCTTTTGCATAATAATCATTAATAAATATTTTTAAACTCATGAAGGGTTTTTAAAATATCATTATTCTTCTTTAAGCTATATGTTTCCTGTATGGAAAATTATTTTCAGCAGATTCAAATAATATGATCTGATATTTCAATGTATACTTTATTTTTAACTTTTCAATTCAATGCCATCCTCCTCATAAGCTAACAAGTTAAACTTCTAAATTTCACAGATTTTTACAGAGGACATGTGACTCATGGGTCAGAGCAAAGACATTATTACTCATGCCACAGCAGGCAGCATGGTCTTCATGCTTGTATTTGTTCCCTTTGCCCCTTAAGTCATACAAGGAGACCAGAGTGGATTTATATCATAGTTTAAGAACTCTGAGCTTTGGAAATTCCAGTCTTTTAGAATGTGCAAACCTGTGTAACCTTTACTCCAGAAAACTTAAAAACTCACTGCCATCAAGTCGATTTTGACTCATAGTGACCCCTCCTTGGGTTTCTGAGGCAGTATCATTATGGAAGTAGAATGCCCAGTCTTCCTTCCAAGGAGTGGCTGGTGGGTTTGAACTGCCAGCTTTCTGGTTAGCAGTCAAAATTCTTTAGGCACTATGCCACCAGAGCTCCCAGAAGGTTACATTATCTTTATTACACTGGACAGCAAACAAACTTGTCCATGCTCTGGACAGAAACTCATCTCTATGTTCCATACCTGAACAGAATCCAAAACAAAGGTCTTCAATGCCTCTACTCAAAAGACATGCAGAAATGCAAAAGACCCATAGAGAATTCTCTCCCAACAGTTATATCTTTAACCTCATTGTATGTTACAGATTTCATCATGAACTTACATGCATTACTGTGTACTATCACATTAAATAATTCTTAACTATATGAACCAAAATCTATGAGAAAACTGTAGTTTAATCTCTGTTTGAATATGGCTTGCATATACACACAAAATAAATACTTCAAATATGACATATATTTGGTGTTGTGACTAATGTCAGACAAATAACAACATCATTAGAAATAGCTGTGATTTATTTTATTTCCAAAGTAGCTCTTCTTTATTTAGGATTTGTTTTTTTGTATGTTGGCTTGTTTTGTGGGCTGTGATTTTATTTATTTATTTTCTTTTTGCTTTATTATGAATATTGGTCGATGAAGCTGCTTGAGTTTTCATTTATCTTTGTTTGGATTTCCTAAATCTTACAACGTAGATCCATGAGACAGTGTTAGTCAACTCTTTCCAGCTCTTATTATCAGTATGGAAACCCTGAAAGTATAAATGTGAGCTGAAGATTAATAGAACTAGTCTCCTCTGCCCAATGGTATAGTACACAGTTGTAAATTAATACACATATATTTTTATACCTACAAATTTATAGTAAAATTTACTTTTCACATAGTAATGATTCCATTCTATTTCAGAAGTCAATAATCAATCCTTTCTAAACAATCTTTCTTTATACCAAACATTATTGCTTCCTTTACCTAATACTACCTCACCTGATTCTGTACCCTCCATACACAAATATATGTCTAGATAAACATAAGTTATTAATTTTCACCTTAAATTTAATTTGAAAAATGCAGACAAATTTTCTATTTTCTTTTTAAAACAATTACAATTTTACCTTACTCTCCTAATATTTTCTTGAATTATCTAATCTCCATTTCATTTTTGAAATGGATCACTAGAAGCTGTGTGATTATGAAAAAAAGATGTGAGACATTAATATTACATAAAGTGTTCTTTTCTGTATTTCAATAAACCAAAAAAGCTATGGTTTCCTAAATCCATAGGTTTGTTAAGCAGCTCTGACACATCTGGTAATCTCTGATGGAAGAGAGAGAAAGGGGGATGGTAAGGAGAAAACAGAGGAGGATGTAAGGGAAAGGGAGAGGAGGGAAGAAAGTTTTGTGTATTTGAAATTTTTGATAAAGAGGTTCTTGATAACCACTACTCTGTTTTAGAATAATCCAGTTTTTATCATTTAAATATTATGCAGCTATTTTATTAAGCATTTTAAAAGCAAGAAACCAAAAGGAATTCCACTGTAAAGAAAATTGTTGCAGAGTTTAGTGGAGTCACATGAACCTCTTTGGAAATTCTTAAATTATTTAAAATTTCTATACTTTATTACTGTCATTGCAAAATGGTGACACTAGTAGGAACAATCCCAAAAGAAGCTGTAATCATGGACATACAGTACTCCCAACTGTGCCAGGCAAACACTAAATACACTACATACTAATTAAGCTCAAGATTGCATTTTAAATGACACATTTAAGAACAAAAAGAGAAGACCCTGTCCAAAAGCCCAGTCAAATGAGTAGATGGAGAATTACTATACAGGTAGACCCCAATTTAGGATGTACATGAGTTAAGACAAATTGCACTTAGTACGGTCCTGTTTTTTTTTCCCCCCACTTCATCTTATTAATGAACACTAACCAAACAACTAACCAAACTCACTGCCATCGAGTTGATTCTGACTCATAGCAACCCCTTTTGGGTTTCCAAGGCTGTAGGTCTTTGCGGGAGTAGATTGCCCAGTCTTCCTTCTGAGAAGTGGCTGGTGGGTTTGAAATACCAGACTCTTGGTTAGCAGTCAAATACCTTAGGCACTATGCCACCAGAGCTCCTTTGTACATTTTATTAGTAATATGTATTACATACAAAGGAGCTCTGGTAGCATAGTGCCTAAGGCACTTGACTGCTATCCAGAAAGCTGGTGGTTCAAACCCACCAGCCATTCTTTGGAAGGAAGGTGGGCATTCTACTTCCATAATTGATATCATTATATCTGTAAGTTTATGTTTCTAATCCCTGAAGACAAAGATAAGATTTATAAAAATATTGATAATAAAAGGCAAAAATAATTTTAAAAGAAAAATGTGGTTATCAACTTAGGTCAGAACTGACTTATGATGGACTCTTCAGAAGAAACCTTGGAAAGAAATATGTCGATTTAAATTGGGGACTGCCTACATTGCATTTGCAATATGATATTACAGACTTTGTCCATACGTTGTTTTACCTTATTTGTCATTAGGTCGAATTATTGTGAAATCTCCTAACACATTTCTAAATGTATGAGGGTTCCTGAATAGAATTAAGAGGCATAAAAAAATGAAAAAAAAAAAACTAGATGGAGTCCTTTTGGTAGTATTATTTATTGAAAGTGTCAGATTTTAAATGTAAATGCTCTGAAACAAATCACCGCTTTAGATGTTAACTGTGGCTCTTGTACTAGAAGGAAAAGGTGCCAGTGCACATTCCAGGGGTTTTCCGACTCATAGCGACCCCTCCTTGGGTTTCCCAGGAGGCATCTATCTCTAAGAAAGTAGATTGCTCAGTCTTCCTTCTGAATGTTTGGGTAGTGATGACCTTAAAATTAAAACTCTAAATATTCAATGTGATTAGTAATACATGAGCAGAACAAAGTAGATACACAGAGTGTCATAAATAGCAAACTAATCAAAATTTAGTAAGTGGGAAATATGAGAGTAGAAGATTCGCCAACATTATGTATTCTTTCATTTTCATTTTGCAGGAAAAGGTCCGGCATTTACAGAAGGCTTTTGCTTCGAGAGTAGATAAGTCCACACAGACTGAACTTCTAGGCTATGATGTAAGTAGCTATATAAAACAATTTTTATCTCCTTTATTGGTATTCAGACCTCCACAGCTTATTTACCTCTGCTCTTGCTGTGTCCATGCATTGATTTAATAGGATTTAGTGCAGCACCATTCATCTTTTGCTCTTAAACAATCCCCAACTACCTTCTGGAAGGAAAAATGATAATTATAGGCACTGACTAGCATGCCAATGCCTTATTAATCTTTCTTTAAAAAAAAAAAAACTAACATCTTTAAAACAGCCTTTTGAATATTTGCAGACTCGTGGAGGACTCTTAGAATCTTGTGATGCTATTTTTTAGAAAGTATAAATCTATTTATTAATTTTTTAATAAAATTATTGTGTTTGACATCTCTAAGAGCCAAGCCTATAATTTTTACATTCTGGCACATGAAAGGAAATGCAACTTTGCAGAGAAACTTACGATAATATGTTAGCTCTTGGTCTTCAATGCAGACTGCAGAAAGTAATTTAATAGAAACTTAACATTCTTTTTTCCTTAATGTAAAATACTTGTTGAACTGTCAAAATAAGACTGTAAAACAAGTTTTAATACAAGGTTCCTTCTAGTATCACTGGATGATTCTGCATAACTATGATTTAAATATCTAGCTTTTCTTGTATTCTGCTCTTCATGACTTCAAATTGCCTGTTGATGAAAATTATAGATGAAAATCTTCTTTCTCTTTAATTTAACATTTTGGAGAGCTGTCCCTTCTAGCTATAAACCTTTCTTAAGTTTATTTTAAATATTTTAGTGACAACTAGAAACAGAAAGCATTTTAAGTTGTCTTATGAATCTGTATACTGAAAAAATAAAACTATGTTTATCTGCTCATTCTCATTATATTAAATAACATATTATTCCAATATAACAAAACCATACAATGCAAGAGCTTCAAGTTAATTTAGAATCAATCAACCTGTCTAAGAACCCTCAATTTTCAAATTTGTTGTTGTTAGTAGCCATTGAGTTGATTCCTATTCATGGTGGCCCCATGTGTGCAGAATACAACTGTTCCTTAGGGTTTTCAAGGCTGTGACATTTTGGAAAGAGATCACCAGGCCTGTTTAGAGACACCCCTTGGTGGGTTTGAACTGCAACCCTTTTGACTAGTAGTCAAATGCTTATTAACCATTTGCACCACTCAAGGATGAATAATCTGACTTTAAGAAAAGTGAAGTCAGTTCACTTCCACACAATATTTGTGCAAACCTAGTATATTAGCATTCAAATGCCTTAGGCACTATGCCATCAGAGCTCCCTTATTAAATGTAGTATGCTTTTAAAACAAGAAAAGGAGAAAATTTATACATTTGTATTCAGAAATTCTACCTTCTCAATTTAAGGAAATAATGTTTGGAGAATGAATTCTCCATTTCAAATGACTGGATACAAATGAATATAAAATGTAAGTGGTCTAGAACATTATCAGTGATTGTCTGGAAAATCTTGTACCAAAGGATGAATGGTAGCTGTGGATAGATAACCAACCTATGGACAATTGTTTCAACAGCATAGCTAATAAGAGCTTTTTATGCATTTGCCTTTCTATGCTCCATAATTTTCTTATTTTCCAAATTTCTAATATTAATTTTATCTGTTCTCTAAATATGTAAATAAAAATAAAAATAAAGTTCCAGTTTATTATTTATTAACATAGTTAATTGTTATTAATTTGTATTGTTCCTAACTTGTTTTCTACCTAACAGTGATAGCTTAATATATTCTAGTTCATTGAATTAAAGTTGTAGAATAATAATTTCTTGGTAGTAAATCTTTAAATTCTCCCTTGCACAGGTACCTATTATGATTGCAGTAGTTGTTAACACAGAGTAATAATCTGTTGTAAAGAATTCATGTTGCACATTTCATGATGATATATATATATATCCTGGGGCAAATCAGGATATTAATTATAAAAGACATGCATATAGAAACTTATATAAGTAAGTAGATGTAGCTATAGTATTAAATTTTAGAGGATTTTATATGGGAGAAGTGGGAAAGAAAATATTTTAAATAAACAAGTAAAACATTTAAAATATGATGAATTGTGGATTTGAAATCACTTGCTATTAATACAATTTCTTCCATGACAAATATCCTTTTTCATGCTTTCAATAGATATTGACAAATAGTTTCCACATGACAATAATTGTTTATAATTCTTAATTATTTTGCTCATATTTTTTCAGGAAATATATATTTTTTTTGATTTATCACAAATATGGTGCATGTATATGTGTGTGTGTGTGTATATATGTGTGGGTGTGTATATATATATGTGTGTGTATATATATATGTATGTGTATATATACATGCATTATTATTTATGTGTGTATATGTGTGAGTGTATATGTGTATGCACACACATGCACACATGCACACACACAGGCTGTCTCCAACTTACGACAGGGTGTCCTTCAGATGATTTCATTGTAAGTCAGTTCTGAAGTAAGTCAAATACCTCACTATTTTTTTTTTTTTTTTAGTTTTCATGTTATTATCTTTTATTATCATTATCTTTATAAATCCAATCTTTATTTGTATTTGGTAATTGGCATGAGAATGATCATGCCAGCAAATTACACAGACATGTATATGTATATATGTGCGTGTATATGTATATATGTGTATATATATATTCTATTTATAATTAACTGTAGTGTTTGTAAGAAAAAAGAAAAAACCTGTAGAAATTTTATTGTCAGCCTCTTAACATGCACATTAAGATTGGTTCTCTTGCTTTCTTCCTAAAGCTATCAAAATTAGCTACCAATTGTTCTTTATAGCGCTCATTTCAATGTTATGAACATCATAATATATGCAACTACAAGTCACCCTTAGTATAATTCTTTGGGATAGCTGTTGCCACAAATTTTGTTTAAGAAATGAAACAGAATCCCCAGAAGACATTGATTATAAAGAAATCTATTTTTCAAAATTTCCAAAAATTCCCTGCAGTAAGTAGTTCAAAGGTTTATACAATGAACTACTTCTATCCTGCAACCAAGAACCTCTGGTGGCCAGATTTATTAAAGCATTTGGCTATAAGCCAGATGGTTAGCAATTCAAACCCACCAGCCACCCCGTCTATTCTTTAGATGATCTCTAAATTCAGGAGAGATATATTCAAGATCATATTTTGGCTCTCGTGGACTTGTTTTAATTGTCTTTAACTTCAAGTGGAATTTGCAT